GTTACTATCATCTACTATTTGCTAGTCACCATCCACTACCAACTAATCACCACTTATTATCACTATATATAACCTACTCTTTATTATCTATCATTTGTTAAATTTTAACTATTATACTAAACATATCCTAAATATCTATACACACAGCTAAACGCATCTACAAACATTAATACCGACGCTGCGCATCGAGCTACCTTCTTTAACCCAAGAAAGAGGTATAAATAGGACTACAACTATCTATGGGCTGGGCCTGGATTTGTTTGGGCAGGACCTAATTATGTTTCGAGAGACCAAGCCCGGCCCAATATTATACTGGGTATCACTTTTTACGATTTGAAAATTAAAGTTTGAAAACTTATATAAAAAATAAGTTTTTATTCTTTTCTTTTCTTTTGGTTTTCTAAAATTATATAATGTTGTTAATTGCAAGATTTCAATTTTGCCTAAACAAGTGTGACCAAACAATGAAGTTTTATTCACTTTATGAAAACCGAATGAGGAATCAAAAAGTGATACTAAACAAAATATAGAATTATAGAATTCATCAAAAATTATTTTCTCATTAAGTTTTTAAAAATTGAACATTGATGAATAAGGTTCTCTAACTAATCCCCCAACCCTTAGCTAAGATATATCTTTTGACCCTTTTAAGCTATACCGGGGAGAACTTTAGCTAAAATGTTGACATCTTAGAGCATCTCCAACGCATGTTCAGTTGCGTTATTCTTTTCCAAAATGGTACAAAACACGAATTCAAGCTGTGTTGCAGCAAAACAAAGCTTAAATAATAAGAGCTGAGCTTAGTCAAAAAAATTTACCCCAAAAAGCTCCAAAATAACGTCACTTTTAAGCAAATTTTCAAGTAAATCCAGCCATAAAAAGTTGGACTAATTAACTGACACGTGCAAAATGCGCAAGTCACGTGGTGGCAGCACTGGCAGGCGCCTGCCCACCGCCTCAACCCAAGTGGTGGCAATCGTTGGATTTGTACCGTTGAATCCAACGGCAGGTAATCTCTTTTTTTTTTTTCTTTGATTTTTATATTTTAATTATTTCATTTAAATATATAAAATGTTATTAAAATAAAATAATAATTGTGTAATTTTTTAAAAGGCTTTGTTTTAGTTAGGCATTAGAGTGAGATATTTTATAAAATATTTGATTTGATAGTTATATATATAAAATATAAATTTATATAAAATAATATTAATTAAATGATGTGACACAAAATGAACTTTAGATATATTTTTATTTTTATTTTTTTGAACAAATTTACAAAGAATTAAATTCAAACCGTTATTTTAAGGGACGAGGGAATCCACTTATACGTGATCTGGCGTCACTGAATTCAAAAATCCAATACCAAGAAAATAATTTAAAGATAATTTTTTATATAATTTTATGTGTTATTTAAATAATATTTTTCATTTTACATGCCCTTTACCTTCCAAATTAAATGGATTATATTCATGTTCCATACGGTTTTCTGGCATTTTGCAATTATTCTTGTACTTTAGTTAGAGAATCGATCAATGCCTTTGATGAGCAGAGCACGCACCGACGGTTTCTGCGAGGTAAACAAATTTTACCAAACTCTTCGCAAATGAACACCTTTCCTCAATCGGTGAAATCTTACTTAAGGTTGGAAATTAATTAAGCTAAACGTCTTTGTAAATATGAACGTCTAACCTAAAATTAATGATAACAATTTTAGTAAAAATAGTTCTTGTAACACCAGAAAGTGGTTGATAAGATTTTGATGCTGGAAACCAAAAGAAAATGGTCGGAGGACACCTACAAATTAAAATAGAGAAACATGAAAGTTTAGCCAAAGATTAGAGTTGGACTCCCAACTTAACACTCTGACGCACGTTAGTGGAGAATTCATAGAGAAAACTTGGAGTATGTGTGTGAAGATCTAGATTTGGGAGAGGAAAGTGAGTCCAGTGTGAGTGAGTGAGAGAGAATAAGTGAAGGGAACATCCTATATATGATTACCTTCACGAGGTCTCCCTTGATTGTCTCTAAAGTTCTATTCCTCTAATGAGAATGTACTTGTTCATTTTTAAAGTGTTCCCAAATAAGACAGTTACTGAAAATATTCTGCAGAATTACTGAGAATGGGCTAAGTTCAGTTAGTCCGTCTAAATCAGATTCTTGGTGTAACAAGTTCCAACAACTTCTTAAAACATATAAAAGGAAAGTAAATAAATTGCCCCTGTAATAACAAAAGTGCAGAAGCTCTCTGGTATTATTCATTATAGTACTAAACAAGATTCAAAAGCACAAGCACAACTGATCAACAATAGTAAGTAAGTGATACAGATATCATTTTATTCCTCCTCAATCATGGATGGTTATTTTAGGTACGCTAGCTGCACCTAACACTGAGGGTAGGGAACGCCGCAGCTACTAACGACCTTCCTAGCAGTGGGAGAGTTGACGTACTGCTTCATATTAGGATTCTTCAGGTAGCCACAGAGGCAGGGCTTCTGCTCCTTCAACTTGCTGCAGCAAGCGGCTGATGGTGGGGAGCCAGACGTCATGGAAGATAAGCATGGGCTCAGCTCGGTGGGGTTGCATGTCGCGGCCTCCGCCATCTGCGCCTCGCTTGCAACCAACACCACCACCGCCACCATCACCGCCACCGCCACAAAAGAAAACTTCTTCATTTTTTTTTTTTACTGATGGAAATTAACTTACGAAAGAGAAAATATTTGTTGGGCGAATTGTTGCATTTGGCCATGGCCTGCCTCAGAATTTATAGATCCGCTCATGAGCCTAAGTGGGTCCTACAAGGTGGAAAGTCTATTTATGATGGGTCCCACTATAGTGAATGAAGTTAGTTACCCAGCCGGCGCGAATTATGACCGAACGCAAAAACTACAGGAAGGAAAAAGTAGGAAAATTTGTCTGAGCCCGGGTTCGAACCGGGGACCTCTAGTGTGTGAGACTAGCGTGATAACCAACTACACCACCCAGACATGCTTACTTTTACTTTAATTAAACATTAAATTTATAAAATAAAATTATATCAGTTCCATGGAAGGCAACCCCTAATATTAAAAAAAAAAA